AAGTGCAGTTTCTGTGCTATGGTGGGGCCTGAAACCTGACTGAAATGCTTCATAGAGATAATTTTTTTGCTGAAAGGAGCACAATTGAGCAGACACAATGTTTTCTAAAATTTTAGACGTATAAAAGGAAGATTTGAAATGGGTCTGTAATTTGCCAGTTCGCTAGGATCTAGTTGTGGTTTCTTAATAAGAGGATTAATATCCGCCAGCTTGAATGGTTTTGGGACGTGACCTAAAGATAACGACGAGTTAATAATATTGAGAAGCCGTTCTTCTGCTACAGGTAACAACTCTTTCAATAATTTAGTGGGTACAGTATCTAATAGGCATATTGTTGGTTTAGATGCAGTGATAAGTTTATTTAGCTCTTCCTGTCCTATAGTTGTAAAGCACTGCAGTTTATCTTTGGGTGCGATGAATGAAACTGAAGTATTAGACGCTGTAGTATCTACATTTGCTATTTCTGATGTTATCTATTTTATCAGTGAATAAATTCATAAAGTCATTACTATTAAACTGTGAGGGCCATGTATGCAAAACTAGGGAGATGTTGCAGAGAAATCAATTTAACAGCTTTTATTCAATCAAAAATACAGAAAAAAATGACCTTGTGACATATTACAATTTAAATTATATTTGAATATATTATAAAATGTAATTTATTCCTGTGTGTGTGTGTGTGTGTGTGTGCACTTAATTAATTAATTTGAAGAGAATCAAAATCATATCTATAGAAACTTTTCTTTGAGAATCAAAATCATGTTGAATGAATGCCAGTTGTTAGACGTCTGAATCAATTTGATACATTTATTTCAACATATCACTATTTGATGACTAGAATTTTGCAGAGACTTCACAAAATATAATTATTGTGTGATTAATTATAATCTCAAACATAAATGTTAATTAAGTAAACATGAAGTTCATTGTATATTGTTTTAGTATGTGCAGTAGAGCAGGTTTCCTACTTTTCAATTATATATTAATTATTACTAATAATTTGAAATTATGCAAATGATCAAATGATAGGAGTAAAACTAATAGTAAATTAATTGGATTTATTATTATTATTTTTTTTGCTGTTTAATAAAAGCAATAAACCACTCCAGGACATGCATTACAGTGATTTTACTATGCTTTACATTGTGCCTAAATTCCTCGAGTTCAAAAGCTTGAGTGGCTTTATTAAAATGCTGATACAACATGGTAGTTGTGATTATCCATTATAAAAGTGGTTTAATGATTTTGTTATTCTGTGCTAGGTGACCTGCTTTCTGCATCAGCCATCAGTCATTTTCAGTGTATTCACTGATCTGTAACTGATCTAAATCATCCACTGCTTTGTACTGATTATATAATCAATATGCTTTTATGAAACAACACCACTGAAGAACCAGCTGTGAGTGTTACTGGTCAGCAGCAGGGTCTGAACTTTAATACCTTTAAGACAATGAAGCAAAAGGTCATTATTACCTCTGTCACACCTGAAAAAACAAGAGCTGAACCCTTCACACAGATGACTCACCTCTTCAGGACCTGCGGCATTGTAGCAGCCGTTTCATTAACTGCTGGAGGCCAGTGTTCCGTTGGCTGAATTGCGATCATTATAATCAAATGAAACACTGTTTCAACCCATTTTGCTTCTGTATTTTTGAGTGAAATTGTATTTAACAAGAAAAATAGACAAGGCTGGGCTTGATTGTATCCATTGGGAATTGGCTGAATTATGAAAAGTGGTTAGAAGCCAAGAGCTTTTGCCAGTTAGCATGACCCGGTTAGCCTTATTCGCATGAGCCTGCCACTCCAAGGATAAAAAGTCCAAAAGTGCACAGCAAGTTCAGCATGTTCAGCTGTGTTGTAATCATTATTTCAGGTTGTAGACTTATCTGAGCAGGAGCCATGATAAGATGATGCTGAGGTGGAAATAAGGAAAAAATATCTCCTGGAGGTGATGGAATTGGAGGGCGACGTTTCAGATTTACAGATACATATCCAATGGGAATTGAACTAGAAGGGGGAATATGGGAAAAGGATGAGAATGCCAGTACTGACAAACAGCACCTTGCTATTTGTGTGTCAGTACAGTTGGAGACGGAGGCGATGTTGCTGCTGATGGCGGCCGAGAAGACACGATTAGGGGAAAGAAATTACATTGGCTGATTAAACAAGCAGTACAGGATGCCAGGGTAAATATAAAATGTACAGAATGTCTGTAAGTCTCGTGCAACAATCCTCAGAGGCAAAGAAGACTACACCGAATGGAAAAGTGAAAACAAATATTCAGATAAACAAAAGCACTTGAGGCACAGCAATGGATTTGTACATTTTATGAGGGAAATATAAGAGGTGCTTGCCCTGCAAACCGAACTGACACAGTTTTAAAGTGTTGTGGGTGGTTGGCAGAGCCGGCTTATGCATAATGCACATAAAACTGGATATTACTTTCTCAATCAAGCAACCAACAATCTGATTGGCTGGATTTACACAATTTCTGGAGATCGTCTTGTGTGGAAACGCAATCATGTTTGCAATATGCCAGGTTAATATAATGAGAAAGAAAATCTAATGACTGGATTGGCCAAAGTCTTTTAGGTTAGTGGCATCACATCTTCGATACTGTGAGTTTTGTTTGAGGAACTTTGTAGCAGGCTGGTTGTTCAATTTACTTAAAATGAGCTAATGCAGCATGATTATTAACTGCAAATGGGCAGGGAATTTGTAGGTCCCAGCATGCTTTGCATAGGTCTTTATAGGGAGAGTAAATTGCTTATAAGTAAAAAAAGACTTTATTCAATGATTTCTTCTCTTCCGTGTCAGTCCCTGCTGCACATTACATCGACTGACCCGGAAGAGAAGAAATCATTGAATAAAGTAATTATTTCTGTTTTCTATGTGCACAAAGTGTTCTCGTAGCTTCATATAGTAAAGTTTGAATGACAGATGTCACATGGACTATTTTAACGATGTCCTTACAACCTTTCTGGGCCTTGAACGTGGTAGTTGTGTTGCGGTCTATGCAGGGTCAGAAAGCTCTTCTTCAAAAATATCTTCATTTGTGCTCAGAAGATGAACGATGGTCTTACAGGTTTGGAATGACATGAGGGTGAGTAATTAATGACAAATTTTCATTTTTGGATGCACCATTCCTTTAATAGATGAATTTCATCAAATAGAAATGTTTGGTTTTGCACCCAAACTAAATCTTACTGAAAGCTCATTTGTTTTAGATCAACCTCAAGTTTGGACTACAACTTGTTTAGATTAAAAACATTATCAGACTAAAATACAGTATATTTATTTCATTGGGAAAATAAATTACTGCCACGTGAGCAGCATGAGAGGGTTAAAAAAACACTAATAATTTAATAACAGTTTAATGTAATCTGTTGCAGATCTCAGAATCAAAGTTTGTACTGTACATTACAAGGGTATCACTAGACCCTTTCCCCTGGGGCACAACAAGCCCCAGTAAAATAGTACTGATGAATCCTTATGTGTCAGTGGAATTGACATACACTGACCTGAGAATAATTTTCTCTGATAATATTTCAGCAATCAAGTCAAGTCATATGCGTTTTCTATCCGCTGTTTAGAATCAGGTGCCAGATATGTGAATGAATCACTCTTTTTAACTAATTGGTCAAACGGGGTTGCAAAAAGGTCTGAAATTGTACACAATTTAGTTTGATTTGTTCAGACAATTCACTCACGCACTGGATCGTTTAGCAGTGGAGAACGGAAACAAACAAAAAAAGCACTGGATGAGGTGGGGATTGTTACAGTCCATTGTTTGAGTTTTTAAACTTGCGCTAAAAGTCAGTGATACAGTTCTTTGTTAATTGTTAGCTATTTTTACGAACAAGAGGATTGTGCAGAAACTTTTCAAGCACAAATAGGGGTTTTGGAACTGGGGTTGAAGGAACAGCATCTCTTCAACATGGTGACAACACGCTACTAAAGCAGCTCTTCTTTTTTGTTTTCTCTTGTACAGCGCAACCAGGACTCGCCTGGAAGAAGCGTTTTGTAGTCCGAACAAGCCATTTGTTGTAGTTCCTTTTAGAGTGTACTTTGAACTTTGTAATATTGCAGAACTTTTTATGCTTACACAGCAACATTACACACTAACTAAATAAAATAAGACCTCTTTAAAATTAGTGCAGCTCTAACTATTTTAATTATTTAATTTCTTCTATTATTGTGGTACAATATATGTCAGATAACCCCTCCCCTTAACTTGAGTTACACTACAGTAATTGGTCAGAATAAGGCATGATGTGGACCAGACCTCATGCATTTAGTCTGGCTAAATGACACTATGGCTTTGCAGTTTGCTGCATTGTTTCTAGAATGTTGCTGTGTGGTAGCTCAGTTATTGCTAGATGGTCTCTAGGGTGCTCTAGGTACAGGCCAAGTTTAAACAACTCAGTGCCAAGTTTCTATGATATTATGGTCCCTAGTTATGGCATAACAAGTCATTTCTCCCCCTCACACACATAAACTCACAGCAGGACTTGTTGCTTATCAATAAAGAAGGATTGCCTAGGGCTGTCTCCCCATATCAGAACTTTTTTGCTATTCCAGCCGGTTCATCTCTGAGCATACCGAATTTGATATGGAACACATTCTCTAGACTGGCCTCCGCACCACTGCAAAGCTATGGAGTGATAAGAAGACACTGCCAACCGGACAGATTCAAAGCCCACTCTTGCACATACTCAACTGGAGATAGCAGAGATGCAAATGAATCTAATGTCCCCAAAGGCCTTGTCCAATAATCTACAGCCATGAAGAGATAATTTCTCTGAGTGCTACACTCTGACAACTCCTTATTCTGCTGTGTCTTTGATCTTTCTGGAGTCTATTACAGCAAATAAACAGAGACAGGCTCCTTACATGGGGATACAATTGAGGAGAGAATTTATAAAACCAAAACGATTTAATTATTCAGGGGTCACGTTAGGCCTTTGATTCAAAAAGAAAGAAAAATGCTATTTGTTTTTCAGCTCATTCCATTTCATGTACATCCCACTATCTCAAAATAAAAATCCTTTCAAGTTCATTACATGAAGTATAATCTTTCCCTCTAGACAACATATTTGCCTGGAGCAATATCTTCCATTCGCTCCCTTTTCCAGGAAAATCACTAAATAAAATCCTACCAAATGCCCCTGTTCCTGATATGCATCAATTCTGCTTGATTTATTTACAAAAGTATGTATGGATTGGTTTTGAACTGGGGCCTTGTATGAAATTCAAGGAGTGAACCTCTTGACCAATTCATACTATAACAGAATATATTTTAAAATATATTCAAATATAACAGTTCAAAATGTAAAAAAAAGATATAATATTATTGTTTTTGTCGCATTTTCTATCAAACAAATGCACCCTTGCTAAGCATATGAGACTTTCAAAAACATTTAAAAAAATATTACTGATTCCAAACAGTATATGGTTATGCTGTTTTTCTGATTATGCTGTTTGCACTTGTTTCATATTTTTGTGTGTAATATGATTTAATAATAATTTTTAATTAGCTTTATTAGCATGCAGACAGTATTTTTAGTATGTCTTTCTGTGTGTGCAAAAGACATTTTGAGGGCGTATGTGCTACAGGCTACTTCACAATAACGCTGCAAAATTGTCTCAAAGCCCACAATGATTGCATTCCTAATCTCTTCTGCATAATAACTTAATTCCTTGAAGCCAACTGAAATATTTCTGCTGTCAATAAAAGAGGAGACATTTCTTTAAAACGTAATCCCCCACAGAGATGAGAAATCATATTAGGAATTAAAGAAAGCATTTCGAGGCTTGGGAATTTAGACAATTATGCTTAATGGCACTATGGTCTGTTATGATAATGCTATGAGCTTCAACCAGCTATTGTGCTCTGACGCCGTCCTGATTTTATTAAGATTTACAGCAATTTTGTATAATAAAAGGAAACTACATCAACAGTAAAACACAATAGCAGTCTTATTTAGGCAATCCAGTTTAGCAGAAGTATGGAGTACCAGCGTGAAACATTGTAATGGACTGTTTCGAACCGAAAAGTAGAGGCAAGGTCAGCTGTGTCAAAACCATGTTATACTGTTAAAATGGAGGCAGAAAATTGAATTTTGCCATAAATCCTTTTGAAGTGGAAATGTTGCATGTGAACTTCCTGTGAGCTAAACTATTCCGGGAAAAGGTCAGAGGAAGTGAGTGTGCTCATATCTGACAGCAGAGACATACTGCAGCTACAGTTACAACTAATGTCTCACCTTCATAAGCCAAACCAAATATCATTATTGACAGTGACATTCTATATATGCTATATACTATATATTTTGTCAATAGTGTACAGTAGCGTTGTATGAAGCACAGCTCATTTAGAGATTTTTAAAACCAAGCAGCTATTTGTTGGTCACACAGTGAACATGCGTAACCAACTTGAAACTATTGCAAAATATTTTGCCCTCACATTAATTCCCAGTAAATAGTTGCACACCTCAGAACATTCGTTTATCAGAATCAAGCATATTAATGTGGCAAAATTTTGCTAAACGCGGATTCCCCCAAAATAATTGCACAGCTTAGAATATTCATCAACCAATCAGAATGAAGCATGAAACGGCTTCTAAACCAAGCAGCTTTCATTTTGGAAAGGCCATCAACCAATCAGAATTAAGCATTTAACTTCCTTCAAACCAAGCCGCTTTCTGTTGATCAATATGGCGAAGACATAGAAATCTATTGCCATCACGTAAATTCCCCAAAAATAATTGCACTTTTTAAAACGATATGAAACCAAAATGAATAGAATCAACCATTTTTTTAAATTATTTTAATTGACCCATATGCAATTTATATACATTTCTGTGATACAACCACTGTAATATAGTGGTGACAATGCTTGTTTTTATTTTATTTTTAAAATTGTATACACTGGTTGGCTTTGAGCCCATTTTCTCAGGTAATCACAAACTTTTGGACCCACTGAACATCAACACAGAAAATTGTTCACCAAACTATTCCATGGGGTAAAGAAAGAGCTTTCACATTACCATTTTCTCCATTAAAGATACAATTGTTATTTTACGTTGTCATTGGCTGTTTTCTTGCCAACATTCTCTCACTGACAGCCCTACAATATCATACGCAGAGACAAGCAAAACAAAAAACAATCTGAAAACCACAATTTTCAACAAAAGAGTTGATGCATGAAATGCAGAATATGACCAGAATCTTGGCAGCTATATTTTCCTCTGCAGTCGATACTTGAGAGGGTGGAACCTGCTTCAGTGAGATAATTTAACTTCTCTTCCTTGATATTTGATTCTCTGTCTCTCTCTCCTTTTTTAAATAGAGACTGTGATTAATCACCAACAGCTTAAATAATGACACCAGTATTACCTAAGCAGGGGCCAGTGCTGGCTCTGCAAAAACAGCAGTGCCACTGATCACTCTCTCTCTCGCCACGTGGAGAGAATGTGAGATTGAGTGGTATGGACCTCCTCAAAGCCAGTAATCTCTAATGTAGTTTTGCTATTCCTGCCACCCATCCTATCTCACTGGAGCAGACCCCGGCATCTGTGCCTCCTATTAATGAAATGAAGGGCGAGGTAAGGCTAAGTGTTTAATAGATTCTTCCTTTAGGGAAACGAACAAGGCTAGCCACAGAGAACTGTTCTGCTTTTGCTTTGCCCTTTAATAAATCAGGTTTATTACTTTGAAATGGGCCATAGGAAAGTTATTACCCAAAACAACACTTTGGAAACATAATATGCCTGTTTAAGGGCACACAATGTTAAATGGTTGATGAGCACAGGGCTAAAGCACACGGCTAATGTTCTGTTTGTAGAACAACTTACAATTCCATTAAAAAGAATCATAGCTTGCCCTCTTGTGTGCCTAAATAAAACTCATTTACAGCTAGTATTAGCATCAGTTTTGAGCAATCTAAAGTCCGATAGTGCTAAATACAGGTGAAGAAAATGGGATTCAAAATGCTTTGCATTCATTCAACCACATTGCATTTGTAGTGTAAATGTGGTAACCGTTTAAATTAGAAAATACTATTCACTAGTATATAGTTGCTTATTATCATGCATATTACTAGCATATTGGCTGTGTATTAGTAATTATAAAGCACATATTAATGCCTTAATGGGGAAGTCATGGCCTAATGGTTAAAGAGTCGGATGGGTTCGAGTCTCGTACCGGCAGGCATTGTCGGTGGGGGGAGTGAATGTACAGCGCTCTCTCCCACCTTCAATACCATTGAGCAAGGCACCGAACCCCCAACTGCTCCCCGGGCGCCGCAGCATAAATGGCTGCATGCTCCGGGTGTGTGTTCACGGTGTGTGTGTGTGTGTGTTCACTGCTGTGTGTGTGCACTTTGGATGGGTAAATGCAGAGCACTAATTCTGAGTATGGGTCACCATACTTGGCCACATGTCACGTCACTTTATTCTGTATGACAGTAGTCTAGATCCCTTAAATCAACCCAAGACCTAAACTTAACTATTACAACAACTACCTTACTTACTATCAATAAGCAACAAATTAGTAGTTTATTCAGGGAAAACCACTAGTTAAAAGTGAATGTGATTCCTAATCTTAAGTGTTACAGTAAATACATCTTTCTTGCTGCTTCTCTGACAGAAATTAAGACTTTCCTACTCATCTTTCACTAAAACAGTGATTTCACCAGTGTCATGAAAAATTTGTTCTGACTTGTTCAGCAGGGTCCAAACCTGTTTCCAAAGGGCTGCTGTCCTGCAGAGCTAAACTCTGCAGGACATTGGCCCTCCAGGAGCAGTATTGGATACACCCGGCCTTGTTGAATCGAGCCCATTTAGTATCCCAAGAGGCAGCTGTTAGTAACACCTGATCAAAAGCAGTAAGGTTTGCTGTGATCTACTTAGGGTGAATGCCCCAGTATACTTCAAGTGAAAACAAAGAGCAAATTTAAGTGGTCTTTTCATGCAAAATTAAGCCAAAACGAAGTTCATTTGGAGTTTGTTTCTGGAGTTTGAAATAGCTTCCCAAAGCGAACCAAGACCTTCAAGTTACCATTGGTCTGCGGTGACTAACATGTAGGTGTGCTCTGGGACACCACCGCCTTTTGATGTAAAAAAATAA